ATATATAACTTTTGAATTTTTCTCTAGTCTAGTCTTGGAGCTGGAAAAGTACTCATACCGAGTACGTACTTTGTATCTGAACATCCCTAACTCAAATTGTTAAAATCTCCCAGATTGGCTATATATTTCAATGTCAAACACTTTATAGTTCAACAATATAAACCTACCGTAGAACACATTACCCCTGTGGACCAGTACAGACACCCCATGAGCATAGGATGCATAGAAGGACTAGTAAGCTACTTGTACAGATCTGTGTTCAAGGAGGTCAGTGGTTTCATGGTGTCATGCGTCTCCTGCTGGCAGTTCAAACAGAAAAATAACACACAGCCAAAGACAATGGGGGTGATTTACTAACCTAAACACACGCACGCACCAGGTGCCTGTGATTTTCACACAGCAAAACGTATTTATCAACCAAAAAGTCTCTAAAAGCATATTTCCACTAATGCCATATATGGAAAAATTATGCACATGATGCATATATAATGCTGCTTCACAGTTTAGACAAAAATGGCTAGCTCATGCATTTACATTCCTGCATTCATCAACGCAAGCAACACAATGTAGAGCTAATTTACACAACATCATCTTGCAATTCATGCAAGGCTTTGCACAACACACCTGCTGGGTGTGTACACACTACAAAGGTGTTTAGATTCCACCCATAGATCATGCTGGGAGGGAACACACTACAGAGGTGTATACATGTTCGTGGTGTGTTTATAAGGTTAGTAAATCAACCCCCAATGTGTCAGAGTTTTGGGGTTTTTTCCCTCACATATCAAAAAGCAATCTTAACACATTGATCTTCCATGAGAAAATGTCCAAAATGTCCAGCTGATGTAAAGTGCAGACGAGATTCCTAAATGCCAGTAGAGGAGTATGGAAATGTTAATCATGACCAGGTAATAGCAGCAGAGGCTTTAGATTGTGGAGCTGTGTGAATATATAACAAAGAGATAAAGGGGAGGAAAAAACAGCAAAATAGTCAACCATGTTAACAAAACGGTCAGGCCAGGGGTCCCTGAAACTATGGAGATCCCATGAAATCAGCAACCGGGAGAAAACCAGTTCTATGCAGGAGGAAGATGAGGGGATTACAGTTCTTGGTAAACCCAGTGAGCCCAGGCAAAGAAATGAGGGCGCACTGGGGAGAGAGGCATGTTCAAAACAGCATATATACGGTAGTACATCAGAGGATGGAAGAGGCCCAGGCTGTAGTTCCAAGGCATAACTTCAATAGATTTTGACAAAATGGTGAAAATAGAAGATCAGTAGAAAGACCATTGGAGGAAATGCAGGAAGTGTCAAAGGTAACTTGTAGAATAGCATTACCTCAGACCACTACGCAAGCTCACATAACCGGTTTCTTAAGGAGAACCTTTACACCCTTTGACTAAAAATCACCTATCTGCATGCTGATATGAAATCATCTCACATTCATTAGTTATACATATTTTTATTTTACTTACAATTTCTTGTTTTCTGCTTCCTGGTTCTATTTGGCACAAATGATGTTATTGTGCCCAAGCATTGCATCCTGGGGAGATTACATCAGGAGAGCATTGCTGAGAAAGCTTTTCTCTAATCTTATGAGATCTCAGGGAAAGGCATTTTCCTCCCTTGAGATGATGTGCATGGTCACTTGTCCTAGTCACATGTGCCAGAGTTCCAGGAAGTAATAGGAGAGCTAGTAATCTGCGCTTAGTAAACATGGCCACTGCCAGAAGACTGGGGAAGAAAAGCGAAATAAGGAATGCACAGAATACAAATCCAGCAATAATCTAGAAGTATGTGTTTGTAGATTGTCATTACTAAACATTTCTAAAGGTGTGTTTTTTTTATTTTGAAGATATGGGTAAAGGTCCACTTTAACTAGATAAGGCTGAAACCCCTAAAATGGTGATTTATCTCTCCACTAAACTCCGTTATAATTTTTTAAGATGGCGACTGAGTGTCTCCCAGCCCCAAGCCTGATAAACCAGGGGCGTACATTAATTTATAGATGGTTTGATGTTTTAAAGTATTTAATAATATATATATTGAGGGTGTGCCTTTTCTTGTGTTACATTTACTAAGCAGTCTTAACTATGATGAATTTCATAATATGTATTGCAAAATAGAAGACTATCACACTGATTTAATAAAAGACATTTGAGTATGTGATCCAGCAGGGATCAATTCTTTCTACACATAGGGGTAAGTCAAAACGCTCACAGAAATAGAAGCCTCTCCCTGACATCCATCTCCAGCATCCAGAGAAGCTGCAGACTGTCCATCTCTGCACAATGGTGGATCTGCGCTGGCATGTCTGGCAAACTTTTCCAGACGGGCCCCAGCCCCCTCTATTCCTGACCCCAAGAATGGGGGGTGCTGGATTTAAGCCGACAGACAAATGAGTTCCTGGACTATCATTTTATCTTTCAAATTTTTTTACAGCTTTAATTTTCTTTAGCAGCTAAGTACTGTCTGTGCTGGCCACGTTCCCCCACCCCTTCCCTCTCTACATAACCTTTTATGTCACAGCCGGGGAAGACATGAAGGGAATGCTGTATAGTGTCACTTGAGTAGCAGTTCTAAGTCTGCTGGGGCTGCTGACATTACATCCTAGATGGTGGCACTCAGCTGTAGTTTTATGGAGTTTGAATGTCGGAGAAGCGATCGGGCGACAGCTAAGTCGCCTGATCGACTTATCGTAAAGCCGACAGTCGGCTTTACAATTGTAAACAGATTCCCGGTCTTTTTAAACGGGCCCGGTGCCAGTGACGTACTATGGACGTCACTGATCACTAAGGGGTTAACTGGACCCTTTTATGAAAGAAACATGAAGACTGCTGTTAATTTGGAATTTCTATCATGCTGACCCTCTTGTGTCAGTACTTTGCGAGTCCCTAACCCAGAACCAGTATGCAGATAAGGATTTCTGACTTTACTGACCTACATACTTGTTCCAGGACAGGGAATCAAAGTACTCAAGCCTGAGGGTCAGGTTAACTTGCAGGCAACCAGCCAGGAGGTCAGCCCATGGCAGCCCACAGTTTGATTGTAACTATGTGTAAAAGAAAACAAATTTTAATTTGATTATATAGAACCCTCATTCTTTTATATTTTAACTTTTTTTATGTCAATCCAGTGATCTGCCCGCTGCTTTTCCCTTACCTGAAGCAAATGCATTGTGATGTGTTACTTGCTTGTTGTTTTTTTACTTTGGAAGAGAATTGTACATTCTGTTGGTTGCGGCTGAGAAGTGGTTAAACAGTGGCAGTGGCAGCTCTTGTGTTCATCTTGGTTATCTGTGCCCACGAATATTTGTGATGGATATAATCCCACAATGACTCCATCCTGAGTATCTTGATGTCTCAGAGAATGCATTGAGATCTTCTGCTGATCCTGTAGCATCCTTTTGAACTGTGTTTTGTATTTCGGTAATTAAGAAAGGGATAAGTGAGTCATCCTGCGCTGCAGCTAAATAAATACTTGATTTGTGCATGTTGTACACAAGATTGATCTATTATTACTATAAAACTGATTTGATTATTTGTATTTTTTTGGGGGGAAAATGTTTTGATGCAAATAAAGCAGGGGTAAGCAAAACACAAACACATTTTACTTCATTAGAGTGACAGCAGGCCCGGTGCAACGATTTTTGCCAACACAGGTGAAGGTGCATTTCTACATTACACAGCACAATACAGAATACCACCAGCTATAGAGGAATACAACAAATTCAAGCAATAATACATTAAAGCTGGTGGTATTCTGCATTGCGCTGTATAATGCAATCTTACTGGAATTTGTTGTATTTCTCTATAGCTGGCGGTAAATTATTGCGCTATATAATTATACAGCGCAATGCGGAATGCCACTAGCTATAGAGGAATACAACAAATCCCAGCACATGCATTATACTATAATGTACTATTGCTGGGATTTGTTGTATTTCTCTATAGCTAGTGGTATTCTGCATTGCGCTGTATAATGATTATACAGCGCAGTGCAGAATATACCACCAGCTATAGAGGAATAAAACAAATCCCAGCAATACACTATACATAAAGTGTATAATGTATTGCTGGGATTTGTGTTCCTCTATAGGTGATGGTACATATACAGCACAATGTACCATCAGCTATAGAGGAATACAACAGTTTCCACTATCCCATCCTGTCAGGTGCGTCAGGGAGCACAGAGCGGGGAGTAGAAGAGTCTTGTCGTCTGGTGTGCGGTGGAAGACGCATGTCTTCTGGTGTGCGGCTCAGGTCGTGTGTGGGGCCGAGAGCAGGGTAAACTAATCGATACCTGACTAATCGATGATGGAAAACGTTGACAGTGTTTTCCATCGTCGATTTTATTAGACTACATTGATTAGTTGTTGCAACTCTTGCAACCCTAGTGCACTGAAGCCCCTCCATCTGTTCCCCTTCCACTGTGGCCACCTCTCTCACTACAAATGCTCTGTTGCCCCCACCCCTACCAATCCAACAATGGACACTCTACCAATACCTGCTGCTTGGGACCAGGAGATAGTGACAGGGGAGAGTGAGCTAAAAAAAAAACATATGCTGTAGTCAGCTTACAATTCAGGAGGAGGCAGAGTGGGGAGAGATACAAAAAACAAACAAACATGTACATGTTTAGGGTTGTTTTTTTTAGCATGTGTAACACATGGTTCAGGCAGCTTATGATCAGGAGGAGGCAGAGTGGGGAAGAGATGAAAAAAACCAAACATGGTGCAGGCAGGCTGAGGCAGCATACGATCAAGAGGAGGCAGGGTTCACACTCACCTATGCAGTCCAAGATGAGAGGCGCACTCCACAGAGGACACATTCACAGATCCAGATGACTGTCAGACAGCAGCAGTGCAGGATGAGCGGCTCAGGCACTGTATAGAGAGTCGTTAAGGAAGCCAGCTACAGTTCAGCCACACTGGCTCTAAAGTCTCACGCAGGCAGCATGACCATCCACCAGAGAGAAGCTAGGGGCGGGGCCGAGCTTACAGCGGCTTAAGCCCGGAACCCGTCCATGCTGCAGCCACACAGGCAGCGTGCGCACCTGAGAGAAGCTAGGGGCGAGACCGAGCTTACAGCGGCCAAAGCCCAGAACCCCGTCCATGCTGCAGCGACACTCACTGCTACTATTTTTTTCCGCCCTCACCCCTTGGGCACCCTCAGGCGGCCGCTTGAGCTGCCTTACGGTAGAGCCGGGCCTGAGTGACAGTATAGGAAACATGAACACTTTATAACTAAGGCGAACATGCTGTGTGCAATGTTTATATTGGCAGCTATGGCCAAATAGTCCATCTATGTACAAGCCAGCAATCATGTGGTTATGATCAAATCATACCATTGACTTTTTATACATTTAAATAAGTTTTTTTTAGAACATGTTGGCTTGTATCTGGTATGTCTTTTGGCACCAGTCATGTTCACATATAATCAGAGGTGTAACTAGAAACCTCAGGGCCCCAGTGCAAGAAAACATAAAGGGCCCCCACTCCACCGCCCTTTAAAAAAAATGTTGGCACCTTGGCAGTTACCAGTGTAGTGCATGTGTGTAGTCCCAGGAGGCAGGGCCACTAGTTGAAATCATGGGACCCCACCCATACAGGTTGGGCTGTGTAGATTAATTATGATTTATGAATACATTTTTTTTAAACTTTTTATCATGTTTTTAATATTTTTAACTTTTTTTTAATCAATATTATATTTTTCAATTCTTTTATTTTTTTACTACTTTTTTTAATTTTATTTTCATTTAATTTTTTTTTCCATTTTTATTTATTTTATTCTTTTTTTTTACTTTTTTTTCACTCAACTTTATTGCTATCACACAGGAGCTAACAAGCCCCTGTGTGATAGCATTTGGAGGTGACGGGCTCTCTTTATGAGCCTGCCCTCCAATACAGAAGAAGAGCACACATGTGCCCCAATCTTCTGTACAGGTCAGGTTGTGACAGCTGATACAGGAGCGATGCAAGTAAAGCGGACCGATGCCACTGTAAAGCTCTTGCTTTACATTTAGCCCTGCTTGCCCAAAGCAGGGCTAAATGTAGAAAAAAAATCCCTGCCTGGCTCCTCTTCAGCCTGAGCGCTCCCCCCCAAGTGGCGGAATGCCAGGGCTCAGTCGCAAGTGTGAGCGCTGCAACCCTGGTAGTTCCGCCGGTGCATATAATGTAGCCCACAGCTTATAATTCTGCCACTTCACTTACAATGTGTTACTACATAAAGTGTCCTAAACAACACAAAGCACTTCGGGAAGAGAAATCACTTCTGGTCCAGTCTATCGTAGATGTACCAGACTTGTCCATTCCTGCACTACTGCACCTCCACAGGCTGCATTACAGATTCTCATACCCTGACCTAGCATCATTACACACCAATAATACCGCTACTCATCACCCTAGGCAGGGCATTCTACTCGCCAGTTACTATGGAAACAGCGATTTGTACATCCCTTGTTAAAAGCTCCTTCGGGGGACTCCTTGCACTGCTAAATCTGCTCAGAAATCACTTTAGTTTACCTTTTTATCTGAGGTCTGTAAAACCCAGTGCAGGAGGTTTAAAGGAAACTTGTACTGAGTGAAATATTCTCAATGCTAGTTGTCTGTCAGTTTCTGCCTTCACTCATTTCCGATATTCTTTCCTGGAAGTTGAATGCATATCAGGAACGTCCGTGTCAAGTTTGGACTTCTAATCTGTATGCTTGTTGCTAGTCAGTGACTTAGAAAGTAGGGAAGACAACGGATCAACATGATGGGCAGGGCCCTAATATTTTCAGGAGGGGTCAGCAGTGGCAGCCTCCAGCGTATCACAACGCAGGGCATTGCGGCACAAAGCTTTGAAAATAGCTTTGTGCCGAAAAGAAAATCAAGCACTGCGATGTGTTCTAACATTGCACTGCATGTGCATGGCGTTCACCACAATATGGTGCACACTGTTGCACGTGTATGTTATCTGTGGGGGAGGGGGATTTGTGTTTTTATTTTTTTACATTTATTTTTACTGTTTGGGGATTCGGGGAAATATTAGGGGTCTAAACAGACCTCCTGACATTTCCCTTTTGAAAAAGAAATTGAGGACACCAAATATGAGGAGCTCCAAATATATTGACAATTGACCGCCTTGTTATTCTTTTTTTTCTCTTTAGACTGTCTCAGCCTTTGCACCAATTTGTAATCCCGTCCAATGCCCATGGGGGCAGAAAGCTTTCGGTGGATATTTGGGTTCTGACTCTAGTAAATGGGAGGTAAGTGTAAAGCAGGGAAGTTCTGGAAATCTGTTGCTTTTCCGCTGCTGTAACTGATTTCTTAGTGCTTAGAAGATCTGTTTCTGATTGTCCTAAGGCATACGATGCAACACATCTGGTGAAGACTTACTCAGGATCACAGCTAGACATATTAATTGACCAAGGGAAGGATGACCAGTTCCTCTCCGCAGGACAGCTTTTGCCTGACAACTTTATTGCAGCTTGCACTGAAAGAAGAATCCCCGTGGTCTTCAGACTGCAGGAGGCAAGTACTAGTCATATGTATTATAAGCATCGGCTCTTCAACACAGGGCAATGCAAGGCTTTACAAGCAGGTTTCACTGATGAGTATTCATAATCCAGTCTTCAGGTTTCCTTAAAGTCTAACTCCAGCCATTTTGTTTTTCGTTTTAGATGGAGTTCAATATCTGTAAGGTTTTTATTTCTGACTGCAGGGGTTGGAAAATAAAACTACTGGTCCAAGGACTAAAGTGGGGGCCCAATCTACTTGTCATGATAGTAAACATAATTTTAACCAAAACCCTATTTAGCTGTGCTAAGAAACGATTCTCATTGGTCAGCAGCATCACCTGACTGCGCTGACTGAGTGCTCGCTACTTGCAAGCGAAGTTTAAAATCCATAGCGCAGGGCTGCACTGGACAGCCGTATGGGGTACAGTTAGTACACCCGTACTGTTGGGGGGAAGGAACGTTCGCTGAAAGGTAAGTATAGCGGAGGGGGAGGGCACGATTTTTAGCGGGTAATTCCATTTTTGCAAATTACTTGGGAAAGTAAACGTACCCTTTAATGCACATTGTGCGTGTTAGAGAGCGCTGCTTCCCAGCTAAAACAATATGGCACACAGTATCAAAATGCCCTACGTGTGTTTATTTGCATGCGGATGGCAGGGTTGGTTTTAATTTTTCTTTTTTTCTGTTCATTTTTATTCTATTTTTTTTTACTTTTTTTATCACTCGGAGGGGGGCGGACGGACGGACAAACAGGCTGCCTGCTACAAATCTGTACTGCCACCCAGATCACTTGTACAAAACAATTGGCAGCTCCCCCGCTCTACATTTAGCTCTGCTTACCCGCTGCAGGGTTAAATGTAGGAAAAAATCTCCCTGCCCGACACCCGGGACTGCAGGGCAATAAGAATCCTGCACCCCTGTGACTGTAACCCCATTGTAGAGCTTTTTCCCCTCACGTCCTATCCCTGTGACACTCCTTTGAGAAGTAGGTGGGAGTAGTTGTCATCAGCACAGGAAGTAACATACAATAAAAATATTGTCAAATGTGTTCTAACCCTTCCCCACTCTGATGAAAATGTATTTTTGTCTGTATCCCAGTTTGAGTGCCTTTCCTGCACTTCTTCTGACGTTGACTGTTTGTTTGTTTTTAATTTTGTTTCTTGAATGATTGCAAATAATATGATTGCAGGTTTACGCTGCTCATGGAATCTGTAGATGATTTTAATACCAGCAAGCTCACAGGGGGTACTCTAGTACTGCTAAAAGACTATACAGACATTTGTGTCGTTTATACCTTATTGAGTGATTGCATATCATGTGAAGCTGCAGAATTTTCCACGTTGGCCATTAATGAAAGCAGAAAGCTTGGATCTAAATTGAGACCCTTTATCTTGTTCCGTTATCCTTCAACAGACTCTTAAAGCACCCAAATATTCCAGTGTTTGTTTCTCACCGAGGTATTGTGGATATACTGTCTTCAGTTATGTGTAGCTGACTGCTGAATACTCACAGGGACAGGATTCCGTCTGCCTACAGTATCGCTTTCAGTGTGGGGACCTCAAGACTCTTTATGAAAGTGAAGGAAGAAGATTATTTGCTGGTCTGCTGATATTACATTTGCTGGAAAGGTGAAGCTGTGCTGTATATAGAGGCAGTGTCCAGGCCAGAATTATTTCCAGTGACCTTCCTAGGATAGGATTTCACACTCTGTCATGTACTAGACTTGTCTGTATTACTAAATGTATTGTATTTCCCTTTTGTTATCTTTCAGGGCTATGATCACAGCTACTTCTTTATCACTACGTTTATAAATGATCACATCAAACACCATGCAAAATATCTGAATGCGTAAGATTACAGAAGATTGTCATTGATCCACAATGAGGAAAAGAGAAAGATAAAAATCATTGGCTTCATTGTATAGGAAATTAAGTGGAATGTCCTCCGATGTAGGAAACAAATCAAATAAAACGTGAAATGTCAGTGTGACCTTGAGTTTTTTTTATATCCAAGCATTACCTGCTAATTACAGTAAAATATTGCAAATCGCGATCTGTGATTTCGCTGGAGAAGCACAAAAATTAATCTGCATCAGGGTGTGTGTAAAAAAAAAAAAAAATCTAGAGCTGCAACAACTAATCGACCTAAATCGATAATGATCGATTTATGAGAATAGTTGGCAACTATTCTCCTCATCGACTAGTTGGTTGGGGAAGGGGAGAGATATTTTTTTTTAAAACAACCAATCGATTAGTTAACCGATTATTTTTTTTCAACTAATCGATTATGAAAATCGTTAGCTGCAGCCCTACTAAAAACTAAAACATTTAAAGCAAGCTTGTATTATGTTTAAAGCAGAAGTTCTCCCAACCTTCTAGAAAACCGGCATTGTAATTCCTCCTAATCTACCTGGAACCAAAGGCTCTTGAATTACATGGGATCTAAAAACCTTCCTTCCTTGCTAAATCATGAAAAAGGGGTAAAGGGATTTAAAAAATGTTCTTGTTCTGTGTGTTTTCTTTTTAAACTCAAATGAGTAAATCTGTGTTTTTGTTATTACACAACACCATGTAAAGTGGCCCACACTCTATTCAGACCTTTTTAGCAAGAATCAGGTGCTTGCTAGAATGCTGAGGCACCTCCTAAAATATCCATTGTGAAATGAGTGAGCTATGCGTGTCTCCTGATCTATAATAAAGATAGCTGCTTGCCTGGAATCTCGCAGGGCCTTCCTTGGTTACTTTGATGATGGAGACCCAGATTCGGGCCAGACTCCATAACGTTGACCTCATTGCAGGGGAGAGCTTTAGCAGTCTGGAATCCCCAAGCCGGGGACAGGACTTGGAGCGGAGGTACGGCTTGTATCTGGGCACAATGTCATGTACATTTCTGAGGTGGTTGTTATAGTCTACAGCTCTGCTACCATTACCAAATTTGCCCTTCTGATGTTGCCTTTGTATTTCGTTTTGCTTTGTATGCTGTTTTATTTTTTTACGTTTGTGAAAAATCAATAAACATTATTTCTGCAAAAAATAAAGATAGCTGCTTAATGTTGTTTGAAGCAAAGAACAGAGGCACCACCCGAGAAAGAAGAGTCCAAAATCATTTTATTGATAGAGATATAAAAGCATCAAAGATCAACCACATTTCAGGAGCAAACAACAATCTCCCTTCATCATGGCTTGAGGTTCCCTTGAAGGGCGATTGTGGTTTACTCCAGAAACGTGTTGACTCTTTGATGCTGTTATGTCTCAATCATTAAAATGATTTTGGACTCTTCTTCCTTGGGTGATACCTCCTGTTCTTTGCTTTTATTGACTTCTCCAATTTCCCTCCTACAGTTTGGGGTTCTTTCGTGTGGAAGTGAAGCCACTACCAAGAGATTGAGCTTCATGAATCTTGTTCCAGATCAGCCACCCACTAGTTAGTAAACCAGGATAGGGATCATAGCTGTGGAGCCTGCACCTTTAAAAACTAGCAGTGGCAGCGTTCATATTTCTGCTCACAGGGTTCTATTTGATAATAGTGCTGAGAGCAATTGTATACAGCAGTGTGCCGATTCTGTGCAGTACATTGTGTCCTCTGTGTACAGAGAAAAAGACCTGATTCTGCTAAACTAGTATATTCATCAGAACACACACTGTGAAATCAGAGGGGCTTTTTTCCTCCCTTACTCCCTAGAATATTTACTGGCACAGTCATTTTCAAGGCAGAGAGTGATGCCTGTGGATATTATCATGTAAGAAACCGGTGACCTTGCTGATAACACCTAAGAGTCTTGTTGAAAATCTATACATTATCTTAAGGCTGTGTGAAAACAATTAAACATGACTTGAAGGCGAGTGTTCCAGAAATCATGGCTCCCTCTATCTTTTCTGAAATGGTAATCCAGTCATATTGGTTTAGTGGTTTCAGCTTCCATTTCCTTCTAGACCATGGAAAATGACATTCTGATTACACAACCTCTGGCTGTGTGTAGGCGAACTGCTGTAACCATTTGTTTCTTTTCCTTTGACGTAATGTCTTATCGCCATCAGGTTAAATTATAGCAGCACTTCTTTCTAATGCGAGCATACAAGGCTGCCTGTAATTGGACTTCAAGCTGTGTGCAGATGACATGACCCGGGGGATGAGGTTTGTAGGGCACCCTGTCTACAAGCTGAATATTGGTAAAAAGGGAGATTTGTTGCTTCCTTCCAAATTGTTGTATGTGAGCATGGTAGAGACATTAGATCGTGCTGGTGCCATTGTAGGAAGGGGAATGACACGAATGATTATGTATTCTCTGGGTAAAATATTGGTGCTTAAAGGAGAACTATGGGGTTAGGGCTTTTCCCCATAGTTCTCCTTAGGGTAACGGGAGGACACAAACTAGCGTCCTCCCGTTACCCTAAGCTCAGTATACCACAAGCTACAGCTCGCGGTATACTGAGACGCCGCAGCCAGGACGAATCCCGACATTACTGTCGAGATCCACCCAGCTGCACGATAGGCAGAGCCAGCTGTGCCCTCCCCTGTCCGTTCCGCCAGTCAGCGCTGGAGGATTGGAGCGGGGGGAATCCATGCAGGGAGCCGTGGTTTTCTGCAGGTAGATGATTGAGAAGTGAGTGAGCGACAGTATGTGTTTGCTCACTTCCCGGTCTATTGAGCCGACCTGTGACAGTTTCATTGTCACAGGTTGGCTAGAGCTATGAGGTTGAGTGAAAATCACTCGCCTCATAGTTCTCCTTTAAGCTGGCCATACCCTATAATATTAACTTTGTTCAACCTGCGGGCTGAATGAAGATAATATTACTGATTCCTCCATCACGCTTACAAGCATTGCTAGAGGAATCTCTTGCTGTATTCATTGTATTCTGACAGCAACCACCAGCCGCTTTCAGAATACCAAAACAGTGCCAGCAGCTCATTGGCTGCCGGCTCTGTTTTGTTTGAAGTTTTTCTGACCGACTCCTTCGATCAGCTGACCTAGGGATGCTGGCTGAAAGGGTGCCGATAGCAGCACCCACTGTGTGAATTTCAGCCAGTTCATCAAGAAGCGGCTGAGATTGGCATAGTGTATGGCCAGCTTTACAGATATGGGAAATCATTTACAGTAACAGAAAACTTTAGCTGCTTGCAGATTGAAATGGAAACATAAGGGCTCATTCACACCAGAAGCGATGACTAGTATTTATAGCAACTGAACAATGCCAGTCACTGCTAGGGTACATAGAAAACAATACGTGTCCCTTTTAACATGCATGTGACCCCCTGCCAGACCTCGATCAGAACCTAGCCTACATGCTCACACTGAACGAGCCCTAAGTTATGAAATGTTTGAGCTGTGACATGTTTGAATGCTTTTTTCATTTATTTGTTGCCCAGACAACGGTAGCTGAATGTATATTAAACATTACATAGTGTAAGCACAACAGGAGTTTCCATAGCAATCTTTATTGTACAGCTTTAAGTACACAAGACTTTAAGACAAGAGCATAGGTTTTATTGTTCAGAAGCCATTTCTGACAAAAAGAAGGATCATTATAAAGCTGTTGTCATATATACATATACAAAAATATCTTTAGATAACTGCACTTTTCCTTTTTTGTTACAGCCATCAATGTTCTGTCTTTACATTCAACATCTGCATCGGTTTACAATGTTCCAAACATCTAGAGTTCACAACACATTGATTTTCTGGCTTCATCATGATGTTCTCAGTCCATTCCCAGCAGCATTTCCACTCTGCAAGAAAATTAGCATCAGTGTTTCCTCCTATGGGCTAGCGTTGGACTGTCCAGGAAAAATTACTTGAAAGAGGAATTATTGGTGCAGAGTTTGTGGCAAAGTCGGGAGTGAGCTGCCAGTGTGCGTGTTCTTATCCCCAGGTGTCATTTTCTACTTGTCCGAATGCATATATACATACAGATGAAGTATTCCATTGTACTTCTATTGGCTGAGTATAGATTTTTGTGAATGTCACAAAGCAATACATAACCTGTTGTGAAAAGTTCCTAATGAAGCAGCACAGAGAACACATGCAGCAATGCGATACTTGGTCATAATACTAAACATTCAATATTCATATATTTTTCATTTCTTAACTCCCTTCTTGTACTCACCATGATAAAACATTGTCCATTCAGGCAGACACTTAATCCATCCAATGTCCGCTGTGTCTGGCTGCTTTCGACTTTTCTGCTGCCAGAGGATTAGAAGATGCATGTCCCTCTGGCGATAACTACATTCTGCTAACTTTAATGTAGAGTTCCATCCCCCCCACCATCTACTACATTCACAAATCCTTTGCTCTAATACCTTCTCCCAGCGGTTGCCCCAAAATACAAACCACATTGTGCTTTAAAAGCTTTTTGTAACGGAGTAATACAATACATATCTTAAACCCAAAAAGTCTGCAGATTTCACAGGAACATTAAAAAGAAAAAAAATCAACAAAGGTTTTACTAGAAAATATATGTTGCTTACTATTATGTATATATCACCATACTAGGTTGTCTTGACCATCTCATGGCTTTTGGAATTTCAAAAGCTTCTGGATATGGTACATAGGAAAACAAAATGATCTAGCTGTCACCTCCATTACACTCTGTCAGTAAATTAAGATTTACACAGTGCATTTAAAATGAACCAGTCATTACACAATCAGGGTTATTCACTAAAGGCTGAAGAGTTTGGAGAAGACAGGAGAAGGACAACACAGCTGAACTGGAAAGTGAGCTGAATTGGAGAATTTTTCCAAATCAGTTATGTTGTCTTGGTTGTTCACTTCTCCTGCCCTCTCCAAACTTTTGTGTATAACCCCCTAAGTGTTAATTTAAAGTGACTCTAAACCCAGGAGTAATTCAAGCACCCTATTAACAAAAATGTATTTTTTGTATCACTTAGCTGTAGATCCTCAAATCATCTCTGAATTGGTGCCGACACTGTCCTTCCTTCTGGAGGGTGGCT